GTAAACCCCCAAGCCCCTAAACCCCTAAACCCCTAAACCCCAAAGCCCCTAAACCCCTAAACCCCTAAACCCTAAACCCTAAACCCTAAACCCTAAACCCTAACCCCTAAACCCTAAACCCCTAAACCCTAAACCCTAAACCCGATGTCGCAAGGCAAGTTGGACGATGCCGCCAAGAGCATGCCAGGGTCTCTGCCTCTCGGCGGCAGGCTCAGGGTTGAGGGTTGAGGGTTAGGGTTTAGGGTTTAGGGTTTAGGGTTTAGGGTTTAGGGTTTAGGGTTTAGGGTTTAGGGTTTAGGGTTTAGGTGTTTAGGTGTTTAGGGGTTTAGGGTTTTAGGGGTCTAGGTGTTTAGGGGTTTCGGCTCTGCTTTGGGGTGTAGGGTTTTGTTCGGGTTTAAGGGTTTTGGGGTTGAGGTTTTACTACTGTAGGTTGTCTGGAAACATGTTTTTTGAAGCTTTGTGGGCCCTGATTAAGCTGTATAACTGTAGAACCCTGTATATCCCTATATGACCCATAGAAATACCACCACCCCGCCCCCACTCCTTCCTTCAAGCACAGCCAAAATACTTGATACAAATCATGGAGCTTTATATCAAGCTTGCTCGACGGGGGCTATGCCTTCACGATACAGCTGTTAACTCCCTAAGGCTTATACTCCAAACCCTTGAATACCCTAAACCCTAAACCCCAAGTAAAACTGTGCTTGGAAGCCCCCCTAAGTCCTCCCAGTAGACTACAAGTAGACTTATAATTTGGGTTATAAGTACCCATGAACCTCCAAGTAAGCCCGAAACTCTGAACCCTAAACCCTCAACCCTAAAACCTAAACCCCAAACCTAAGCCCTAAACCCTGAACCCTAAAACCAAAAACCCTAAACCTGAAATCCCAAACCAGAGCCCTAGCTTGAGGTTTTCAGAGGTGGGTGAGCGCTACATGCTGCACGGCACAAGCCCGGAGAGTGTCCTGGACATTCTCCATCAAGGCGCGCCCGAGCGGAAGCGAGTTTAGGGCTTTTTAGGGTTTAGGGTTCAGGGTTCAGGGCTTAGGGCTTAGGGTTCAGGTTTCAGCGTTCAGGGTTTAGGGTTTTGGGTTTAGGGCGTAGGGTGTGGGGTTTAGGGTTGATTTGGGTTGGAGGGGAAGGAGTTAGGACCCTAAGCTCTAAAAGTCTTCAACCCTAAAGGTGATCGGTGAGGGTTTCTTGGTGCTTCGGTGTTGCAGATGGGGGGGGGGGGTTGGGGAAGTGTAGGGTTTTGGGGTACTTGGGGTTTAGGGCTTTAGGGTTTCGAGGATTCATAGGGCTTTTAGGGTTGAGGCTTCACAGGGCGTGAGAGCTTTCTGTTTTGAAAGGAAGTTGCAGTCCGTTTGGCCCATCTGCCCTACCAATATGGTGGCTTCCGAAAACGGGGTGCCTTCTTATTGGGTTCTCAGTACAAGGGAATCCTACTGTCTGGGGTCTATTTTTGGGGTCCCTAGCCCTAAACCCTAAACTCTAAACCCCAAACCCTAAACCCTAAACCCTAGACCCTCGACCCTAAACCCTAAACCCTAAACCCCATAACCCCCCCACCTTTGCACGAAGGCTTCAGCGACAAGCTGGCCAGCCTCAGTGGCGTCTTCGGCGCTGGAAGCTACTTTGCCGAAGATCCCGAGAAGATTGATCAGCACCTTCCCTGCACAGTTTTGGCAAGCCGAAGTCCCAAACAAGTACAAGTTTAGGGTTTACGATTTAGGGTAGGGAGTTTCGGGTTTAGGGTTTAGGGGTATAGGGTTTCGGAGTTTCGGGTTTAGGGTTTAGGGGTGTAGGGTTTAGGGCTTAGGGTTTAGGATTTCGGCTTTGGAGCTTATGCCTCAAAGCACAGAGACACATACACAAACCCGCAGTATCTTTAGCGCGGAGCCTATTTGGGGGTTTTGCACAAATATCTACTACTTGCTTAAGAGCCCCAGAAAAACAGATAAAAAGATAAGGGACCCCCCAATATAGATTCCCAAAGAGCAGGATTCCCCATATAGAAAAGGACCCCAAGAAGGTACTCCTATTACCGAAAACCCGCGTTTACTGATTTACTTTCCAGGCGTAGGTTTGAACAGGATCCTTTCAACTCTTACTACCCGTAATCCCCTCTATAACCCTTATGAAGCCACAAACCCTTACCCTAACCCTAAACCCTAAACCCTAAACCCTAAACCCTAAACCCTGAACTCTGAACACTAAACCGTGAACCCTAAACCCGAAACCCTAAACCCTAAACCCCAAACCCCAAACCCTAAACCCTAAACCCTAAACCCTAAACCCTAAACCCTAAACCCTAAACCCTAAACCCTAAACCCTAAACCCTAAACCCTAAACCCTAAACCCTAAGCTTCGCATGGGGCACCGGCAAGCCTGCCAGGTACACGCAGCCCGATGCCGGCCAGGCAGCGCCGGGATTGGAGGAGCTCCACGCGCAGCTCTTCACCGAGGAGAGCCCACATCCAGGCGGGATTAGGGTTTAGGGTTTAGGGTTTAGGGTTTAGGGTTTAGGGTTTAGGGTTTAGGGTTTAGGGAACCTTGGCAGCCCTTTGACCCGTACACCATAACAAACCCCCAAAAGGGTAATATAGGGGTCGGAATAAGTACTAAGAGTTGGTCCCTCTCTAACTAATTCTATAGTAACCCGCAAAACCCGATTCCAATTATTCAGGCCCAAAGGGTACCTTGATGCCACCAAAAGACACGAACTACGAACCACCCCCTCACTGGAAACCAGCCACTGCCCCATCGCTGTAATTATCAAATTGTTTTTAAAACTGTCATCATTCATATGGCTACTACCATCGTGTTATCATCATCCGCCTTTGCTGGTGACGGTTGTTTTTGACTATAGTTTCAAAACCTCAGGCTGGCCTAAACCCCCTAAACCCCAAACCCAAAACTCTAAGTCCTGAATCCCAAATCCTGAATCTTAAGCTCTAAAGTCCTCGAACCCTTACGTCTTTGACCCCCTCAAGCTCCAAAGCCTCTGACTGCCTAAAGCCCTCCAGCCCCTAAGCCCAAGCCCCAAACCCCCCAACCCCCAAACCCCCAAACCCCAAACCCCAAACCCCAAACCCCAAACCCCAAACCCCAAACCCCAGACCCCAAACCCCAAACCTCAAACCCCAAACCCTAAACCCTAAACGACAAGCCCTGAGGCGAGGACACCTTTTACTGCTTTGTGGTGAGGGCCACATGCGGCGCTGCCCTGGTCATCGAAGGTTTCGTTCGGGTTGGGTTTAGGGTTCAGGGTTTAGGGTTCAGGGTTTAGTGTTTAGGGTTGAGGGTTGAGGGTTGAGGGTTTAGGGTTTAGGGTTGGCTGTGGGAAGCTTACTTGCGCTCTGGGACTCGGCTTGGGCGTGTTAGCTGCCCGGGTTTGAAGCTTGAGAAATGCGCAAGGTGGCCCCTAAGCCCTCAACCCTAAACCCCAAACCCTAAACCCTAAACCCTAAACCCCCAACCCTAGGTCGCAGCCAGGAACTCGAGACCCTAATCCCTTACGACCCGGACCAGGTTCTTCAGGGTTGGGTGTCCCTTATCACCCGCTTAAAACCAAAAATGGTACCCTCTTTATTCCTAGGTTACTCCTGACCCTTTGAGGTGTAGGGTTTAGGGTTTAGGGTTTAGGGTTTAGGGTTTTAGGGTTTAGGGTTTAGGGTTTAGGGTTCCAGGACCTCGAGACCCTAATCCCTGAGCCCGTATCTACCCTATCAGAACCCTTTGAAGGAGTGGAGTTGGGGGTTTTAGGGTTTAGGGTTTGGGGTTTGGGGGTTTGGGGGTTTAGGGTTTAGGGTTTAGGGTTTGGGGTTTAGGGTTTAGGGTTGGGGGGTTTGGAGTTTTGGGCGCGATTGCTGCCCTTGAGGATTTCGGGGGGGGGGGGGGGGAAGCTGTGCCATCCCGCGCCAGTGGTTGTCAGGACGTAATCGGAGCATTTAGGGTTTCGGGTTTAACGTTTAGGGTTTAGGGTTTTGGGATACAAGCCATGGGTTCCTCGCGCAACCTCCCCACCTCCCCCCCCCCCCCCCTCAACGGGGTCATCCGCAAAAGTGTGAGACACAAGGCAGACGGGAACGTTTGTAGGTGGATGCTTGGGGGCCCGGATGAAACTCATCTTGGGCAGCCTACAAACAGTTTAGCAGTTAGACGAACCCTAAGCCCTAAACCCTAAACCCTAAAAACCCTAAACCCTAAGTAAATCCTAGAAACCCTTAACCTTAAAAAGCCTGCGAACCCTGCGCAGGCCTGGACCAGGAACGGCTAAAGGACGTCAACACGGGCAACTTGGTAGGCCCTTGGGATATTTTGTACCACCCCTTCTTGGTTTTAAGAGGATTTCATTTATATTACTCTTTGCTTAAGAACCCCAAAAAAGAAAAGACAATGAACCCAAAAGTTCCCTGACAAGCAAGAGCATTTTCCATTTTTCCAGGGGTTCGGAATCGGTTTTCACAGGGATTTTTGCGGAGCATCCAAGGCAAGCACGTCTTCCTCAAGCCCGACCGACGGCAACTCTGCCACATCCCTGGGGCAGTTCCGTCCATATCCTACCACACCCTCGTGGTGGAGCTGCCCCTCGCACGCCGAGAACTGCTTGTACCCTTTTCTTAAAGGGTCCTAAGTACCTACATAGTAGAAAGTAGGGTTTCTGTAGTCGGAAATACTGTTATGGTCCATATAGGTACCTAGGGCGCTTTGGGTTTGCTATCAGTTTTAGGATCTCCGACGGACCCCATTCGTTTTTGCTTGGGACCATGGGATATTGAGATCGTTTACATCGCGACGGATCATTCCCACCCAACACCCTAAACCCTAAGCCCTAAACTCTAAACATTTAAACCCAAAACCCTAAACCCAAAACCCTAAACCCTAAACCCAGGACAAAGCGAAAGCTCCCCACAGCGGTCCTGCGGTTTCGCGAGATTGTCCTCTTCGAGGACACGCGCGTCTATCCGGAGTACCTCATTGCGTACCGCCGGGTTTAGGGTTTAGGGTTTAGTGTTTAGGGTTTAAGGTTTATTTGGGGTTGCAAGGGTTTTAGGGTGTAGGATTTGGGGTTTAGGGTTGCAACGTAGGGAAGAACCCCAAACCCTAAACCCTAAACCCTAAACCCTAAACCCTAGACCCTAAACCCTAAACCCTAAACCCTAAACCCTAAACCCTAAACCCTAAACCCTAAACCCTAAACCCTGATTTTCGCAGAGGGGCTAAAGCCTTGGCCCCTTTCTTAGGAGCGGCTAAAGCCTTAGCCCTTCTTTCAGACACTTGGAGGTTCATGGTACTTATTAGCCAATTACATCTGTACTTATAACCCACTTAGAAGCCCCTTAAGTGTCCTAATAAGGTTGAAAGTACAGTTACCCTAAACCCTAAACCCTAAACCCTAAACCCTAAACCCTAAACCCTAAACCCTAAACCCTAAACCCTAAAACATGAACCTCCAAGCAGTGACGGGCATGGCCCCGGATGTCTCACACAGGAGGCAGCTCGTCCTTCAAAAAAAAGAATCGTCTTCCCGAGAATGCAAGGGTTTAGGGTTTAGGGTTTGGGGTTTAGGGTTTAGGGTTTAGGGTTTCGGGTTTTGGGTTTAGGGTCGTCCGGGGCATCGCGAGGGCCCTCGTCCCTAACCGAATCTGCTTGACTTTGCTTTTTTTTGTCTTGGTAAGTTTTTCGGGGGCCCCAATGACACACCCTAAACCTGCAAACCCTAACCCTTTTAGGCCACAACCCTAAACCCTAAACCCTACGTAAACCCTAAACCCGAAACCCAAACCCTAAACCCTACACCCCAAGCCCTAAACACTGAACCCTGAACCAGGGACCCTGAACCCAAAGCCCTAAACCCTAAACCCTACGTAAACCCTAAACCCGAAACCCAAACCCTAAACCCTACACTCCAAGCCCTAAACACTGAACCCTGAACCAGGGACCCTGAACCCAAAGCCCTAAACCCTGAACCCTGAACCCGCAACCTGAAACCCTGGACCCTAAACCCTAAGCCCTAAACCCTAAGCCCTAAACCCTAAACCCTAAGTTTATATCAACCCCCACGCAGCTGGCGCCTCCTGGGGCAGCTGGCCGCCTGGGGTGGGGAGGGCTCCGAGCAGTGCCGGAAGCTGAGCTGGGGTTTGGGGTTGTAGGGCTTTAGGGGTTTAGGAGGTTTTGGGGCTTAGGAAATTTTGAGGGTTTAGGGGTTAGTGAATTTAGGGGTATAGGGTTTTGGAGTTTAGAGTTTAGGGCTTCGGGTTTAGGGCTTTGTGTTTAGGGTCTTGGGTCTTGGGGTTCGAAGGGCTGCGAGGCTCCAAGGTTGCAGGGTAAGCCCTATAATCTCTAAACACTCAACCGTAGCCCTAAACTCTAGAACTCTAAACCCTGAACCCCTGAACCCTAAACCCGAATTAAATCCTAAACCCCACGTACAGTAAACCCTGAATCCTACAACCCATCGAACTCTAGGTTTTCACGGAGGCTTGCTGCGATCTCAGAGGTTTAGGGTTCAGGGTTTAGGGTTTAGGGTTCAGGGTTGAGGGTCTAGAGTTAGGGTTTAGGGTTGTTTTGGGTATGCTTGGGTGGGTTGAGTGGACATTTAGAACATGTTCTCAACACATGCGACCTTTATATGCAGAAGCGGCAGTCCTTCGATTTTATGGGCCACTGTTAGAGAATATCCTAAACCCTAAACCTGAACCCGAAACCCGAAACCCGAAACCCGAAACCCTAAACCCTAAACCCTAAACCGCCAAGAAAGGTTTGGACAAGCTCCTGGACCTCGGTCTCAAGAATACGTCGGAGGAGGCACGGGGTCCTCCCTGCTGGTGGAGTTTACTATAGGGGTCGGAAGAATTACGAATAGTATTCCCTTATGGTCCCTTTTTTCATATGCTACAATAACCCCCCCCCCCCCAAAAAAAAAAAAAAAACTGTTCGAATTATTCAGGCTCCGAAATGCGGTTTTCGAGGGTTTTCCGGGTTGAGGGCTCGTTGGGTTTAGGTTGATAGGCAGGCTTCGAGCATTTGGTGACTACATTTTTTTGGGTCAGGGTCAGGATTTAGACAAAATCTATGGTTGAGAAGGCCACAATAAACCCCTCCCACCTTGAACCCTAAGTCGAACTTGAAGCACCGAAATAAACCCCGAAACCCCAAAACCCCTAGAGCCCTAAACCCTAAACCCTAAACCCTAAACCCTAAACCCTAAACCCTAAACCCTAAACCCTAAACCCTAAACCCTAAACCCTAAACCCTAAACCCTAAACCCTAAACCCTAAACCCTAAACCCTAAACCCTAAACCCTAAACCCTAATCCCTAAACCCTAAACCCTAAACCCTAGACCCTAAACCCTATGAGCCTCTGGGAAAAGCCAGCTTCTTCTAGGCCATGGCGGCCATGGGCCTGGCCGTCTGCGCTGCGGCCTCCGAACCCCTGGAGCCCTCAGGCGAGGGTCTAGGGTTCAAAACCCTCAACCCTCAACCCTCAACCTTCAACCTCCGGTCTAAACCCTAAACCCAAGACCCAACACCCAAAACACGCAAAACCAAAAACCCAAGACGTCCTAAACTCCAAGCCCAAAAACACCCTAAGCCACAAAGCCCTAAACCCCTACAACACTAGCTAAACCCTCAAGCGCTTCGGGCTTCGAGGGCTCAGGTGGGTGGTCTGGGTGGCGCCTTCCTGGCCGTGGGAACAGGATTTTAGGGTTTTAGGGTTTAGGGTTTAGGTTTTAGGGTTTAGGTTTTAGGGTTTAGGGTTTAGGTTTTGGGGTTTGGAGCGTGTGTCTTTTGGAGTTCCCTGTCGAAGCTTCTGGCTGTAGGGTTTGATGTTCCAGGTCGACGCATTCAACCCCAGGGCCGACTAGATCGATTTCGCTTAGGGTTTAGGGCTTAGGGTTTAGGGCTTAGGGCTTAGGGCTTAGGGCTTAGGGCTTAGGGCTTAGGGTTTAGGGTTTAGGGTTTAGGGTTTAGGGTTTAGTTTAGGGTATAGGGTATAATTTCTTATGGTCCCTTGACAAACTACAATAACCCCCCCCCCCCCCCCCAAAACCCTGTTCTAATTATTCAGGCCCCTATGGCAGCCCCTAGAAGCCTGTGCCTTGGTTTTGGGTTTTGAGTTTTGGGGTTTTGGGCTTGAGGTTTAGGGTTTAGGGTTTGGGGTTTAGGGTTTAGGGTTTAGGGTTTAGGGTTCAGGGTTCAGGGTTTAGGGCAAAGATCAGTGACTAGCGATGCTCGTGCGGGAACATGGCATCTGCGGCGAACTGTAGAACCCTGCTTTTGTTTTGCGGCGAACCCTAAACCCTAAACCCCAAACCCCAAACCCCAAACCCTAAACCCTAAACCCTAAACCCCAAACCCTAAACCCCCTGTGCCTTCTGCAGGGCCCGCGGCCGCTTCCCGCGCCACCGACTTGCTGCGGCGTCTACTGACTCTGGCGCGGGGGAGGGGTTTAGGGTTTGGGGTTTAGGGTTTATGGTTTAGGGTTTAGGGTTGAGGGTTTAGGGTTGAGGAATTTGGTTGTTTACTTGAGGGTTTCACTCATGGCTAGTTGCAGGGATATGCGAACCCATGATATGAAGTTGCAGCCACTTGTAGCCATGTTACCAGTTAGAGCTACCTGCAAGAAGTCTTTGAGCTAATATGAGTCTAAGCTCTAAACCCTAAACCCTAAACCCTAAACCCTAAACCCTAAACCCTAAACCCTAAACCCTAAACCCTAAACCCTAAACCCTAAACCCTAAACCCTAAACCCTAAACCCTAAACCCTAAACCCTAAACCCCCTGATGGCCCAGATTCCCTCTTTGAGGCCTCTAAACTCCTAACTCGAAACTCTAAGCCCTGAGCCCTACAAAACAACCCCGTTTAGGGTTTAGGGTTTAGGGTTTAGGGTTTAAATACCCGTTCTGCTTAGTACAGGGGCGTTAAAAAAAGCACCCACAGGCTAGCCAACTCAAGAAGCCTGAAATGGCCATTGCATTAAGCGAGTGTTTAGACTCTAGACCCCTAACCCCTAAACCCCAAACCCTCAACCCTAAACCCCAAAACAGAAACCCGAAACCCTAAACCCCAAACCCTAAACCCTAAACCCCAAAACAGATACCCACTCCAGTGCAGGGCGGCCCCTGAACCAGGCAGGAGACGAAGAGAAGCCACAATCCGACCAGCAGCCCGCCGGCGTGGAGGTGCCCTGTGTACCACATTCTTCGAACAGAGAGGGTTAGGGGGTTTAGGGTTTCGGGTTTAGGGCTAGGCAGGGTTTTTAGGGTATACGGTTTGGCGTTTAGGGTTTAAGCAAAGTGGCTGTTAGTGGTTCTCCATCATCTGTCCAGCTTGTTTGCCCACTCACCATCACACACCCAAAACGTCCAAGTCTCCTCCAGTGGAATACGTTGTATAAACCCCGAATTAAACCCTCCTAAACCCTAAACCCTAAACCCTAAACCCTAAACCCTAAACCCTAAACCCTAAACCCTAAACCCTAAACCCTAAACCCTAAACCCTAAACTAAACCCTAAACCCTAAAGCCTAAACTGCAAAGCCTTCGGGAGTCCGAACATGTCTACAAAAGCCCCGAGCCCTAAAGCCCCCAGAAGCCCAAACCTCATAAACCTCATAAACCCTAAACCCTAAACACCCAAACCCTAAACCCCTAAACCCTAAACCCTAAACCCCTAAACCCTAAACACCCCAACCCTAAACATCCAAAACCCTAAACATCCAAAACCCTAAACACCCCAAAAACCCTACACCCTAAACCCCAAACCTAAAACACTCACCCCAAACCCTAAACCCTTAACCCTAAACCCTGAACCCTAACCCTAAACCCTAAACCCCAAACCCCAAACCCCAAACCCTAAACCCTAAACCCCTTCTTGCCGAGGACGGAGCCGAGTCCTTGGCCAAGAAGCGGGAGTTGGCTGCAGGGAGTCCCAGGTGGACGCAGGCTCTGGCAGCCCTGGGAGGGTTTAGGGTTTAGGGTTTAGGGTTTAGGGT